TCCATGGGTTTGCCTGTTTTCTACTGTTTTCAATCACACACAATTTACAGTCACTCTCCAGCTATGGGGGTCACATGTCAAGCAGAAAAAGTCCATTAAAAAGTCCTGTTTATCTCCCTGCCCATGGTGATTCATCTCCATCTGATCCATACCCACTGTGAGTTATCTGCAGCCATTTCATGTGACACATTAATTTGTAATGACAAATAATGATTTTGCAAGAACTAAACCTTATTAAAGTGTGTTGATGTCTGCTCCAGCACTGTTTACCTGTGCACAGGCAAACACAAACATTTCATTTGCTCTCCCAGGTTTACTGTTCCTGGGCTGCAGCCTGGAAAGGAATATGTGTTCTGTGTGAAATCTGTCAGTGATGCAGGACTGAGTGAGAGCTCACCAGAGACAGATCCCATCGTTGTCAGGCCAGCAATTGGTGAGTAGTGACCAAATGAAACCCCTCCAAGCCCATCTGTCAGGCACAGCCACCACTGCCTGCTATGGTGACAGTGGCCGAGAAACAAAACAAAAGGGAACTCATTTTCCTGTACCCTGCAGCTTCTGCCATCAATTACACTTGCCAAGCGTGGACAGAGTTAATTAATTAGCATTTTGGCCTAGCAGTGTGTTACATTTGTGGTGTTAATTTGGCTCTGGGTACAAGTGACCATTTAAAGTGCTCAGTTTTGTGATATTTCTCAGGGAAATTACAAAATCCTACAATCACACCATCCAGGACCTAACCCTCCATGTTCCCATTTTACCATCCCACTGCTGCCACCTTTTCTGCCACACAAACCCTAAAGCACCAGGCAAGGGACCCCCATAGGCACATGCAAGGCTTTTGCTGTGACTCCAGAAGAGAATGTGGACGTTGTGCTGACACTGCTGTTCTGTCTGTCCCTGCTGTTCTGTCTGTCCCTGCTGTTCTGTCTGTCCCTGCNTGTTCATGGAGGTCTCCCTGTTTGCTTTTCCCACTGGTAGACTTGGATTTAAGTCTCAAAAAGCAGAATCTCTTTCAGCACTAAATCACCACAAACATGCCCCAACAAGGCCTGGCTGCCTTGGACATCATGAGAGTTTCAGCATAAAGTGCTGCTGCTTCTGCAGTTTGTAAAATACAACACAACCATCACTTACTCCCTTAGTACATGAACCAACCTCAGGACTGGACCTGAGTGCAGCACACTCCATAAATACCAGAAATAAATGAGAGATCACCTCAAAAGCCCAATTTGCACCGTGTATTTTGATCAGTTTGAAGCGATTGGCCATTCCTCCTCTGGAAGGTTTAAGTGTGCAAACATTTGCGTTACTAATGACTCGTGGGCAGCAGCTCTGCCACTGTGGGAGCTCTGCATGTCCTGTGTCCTTCCAGAACGACCTCTCTGAATTATTCAGAGAGCAAAGAGAGTCTGAACCTCCCACACATCCCTGGGAGCACAAGGGAGAGACATCTGTGAACTCACCCACAGGAGCTGCAGGGCAGGGGATGCAAAGCCAGGGCTGAGCAGCCACACAGGACCATGGAGGGCTCTGGGTTTCACTGCCAGACTGGTTTGGATTGAAGAGGGAGATCTGTAAAAGAGGGAATTGTGTCTGCTCCTCTTTCCTGTGGTGTTTGATGTGGGTCCTTCCCTAACAGCACATTTCCTTCTTTTCCACCAGGTATAAGAATGGAATTCCCATCGATCCCCGCCGAGCCCCAGCAGGAAAATACAAGATCAAAAATCAATTTGGGATGCTGACCCTGCACATCAGCAGGTAAGGGCTGTGCCCTTGGCCGAGCTGCTCCTTCAGCTGAGTGAGAGCTGCTTGCCCTAAATTCCCAGTCTGTGGACGATAAACAAACCCAGTAATTCTTCTGGAATCTGACCTTGCCTGCCTTTAAGGCTGTTGTGTTTGAGCTAAACCTTTGCCAATCTCCACAGCAGTTCACAAGGTTTAAAAACTCTACACAAAACCAAACAAAATTAAATTGCTTAATTTATTCTGCTCCTCTTTTCATGTATCACCAACATTTTTTCCTTCAGGGTAAGGAATGCACATTAAGCACTTCATGAGGATACCAAAAAATGTGATTTGGGATGGATCAGTGTAATCAGAACAACATTAGTTCTGATCTATGAATTATCAGTGATAGACAAATGCAAATCTTCAGTGCAATCAAGTGTTCCACAGGCCTTTTGCTTCTTCAGTACTTAAAATGTTTTCCTTCTTGGTCTCAAGAGAAAAAATTGATGACAAAGTACCAGAAATCCTTGTAATTGAAAGGAAAAGCAAACACCCCTGGGATTAAAGGTGAACCCCTTTGAATTTATCCTGTGAACTATGAAGGAGGGGAAATTTAATGTTTTTTCAGATGCTCCATGGAAGATTCTGCTGAGTACAGCGTGGAGGTGAAGAATCCGCATGGTGAAGCTTATTCCTTTGCTACAGTGCTTGTCAGGAGTAAGTACAAATATTCCTTTGGGTTTCAACTTCCCAGTACTGCAGGGTCTTCCAAACATTTCCATTATTGGATAGGCACACACGGGCACTCTGGAAAGGACAGAACAGCTTCTCTTCCTTGGTCACTTCTGGGCCCAGCCAAAGGTTTTCCTTTCAGATTCCATGTGGACACAGCTGTCCTTTCACTGGGATAAAATTGTACTAAATTTAGGAGCTTATTTCTTCTATGAAACAGCCCCACAGTGGAACTCAACAGGCTCACAGAGAGTGTGCTAAAGATAAGCAAGGAATGGCTCCCCAAGAGCTGTGGCTCTCAGTGGGACCTCTCAGGGCATTATTGCAGAGAATGCCACATTCTTCCCTGAAATCAGTACCTACCAAGGGCAAATGCAAGATTTTCCTCTTGGATTTGTGCTGTTCTTAAAATAACTGGCACAGACTCCAGGTACAAAGTGTGCACAGCCAAAGCCAGACGTGGGGAAGGAAGCAAATAAACCACCAGCACTTAAAAAGGGAAATAATCTCCAGCTTTAGGAAATATGCAGAGCAGTCTCACAGGATCACAGTTTAGCTGTTCATATTTCACCTATTTCTATCTAAATTACAGTTTTGTAATAAAAAGCATGGACAGAACAGACTTACAGGGCTGTAGACAATTCCACCCTTTAGTGGGACTGACTGAGCCCTCTGCCATGGCTTGTGTTGTTATCTTATTTTGACATGCCATAATTTGACCTGAATCCTGTCTGGGATGCAGATGTCACCCTTGTGACTGTGACTCCAGGACTGTAAAAGCAGTGTATTATCTCACCTTTCAGGGCTTTTAATTCATTAAACAGTGCCAAAATTCAGCATAACTGGGAACATGCAGCAGGCATTTACCAGTTCTAAAGGGACACCAGCCCAGAAAAACTTCACTGCATCTTTCCCAGACCCCTAAACTGCCCCTACCCTAATGCAGGACAGGTTACCAGGAGGTTCCCACAGTGTGGCCACAACAGGAGCTGCCCTTGGCCACCAAGCAGCAGCCTGAGGAAAACCCCCATGCCAGTAAAAACCTGCTGCTCTCATTCCCTGTGGGACCTTTAGGATCAGAGCAGGTGGGGATGAACAGGGGCTGTGGCTGGCACAGAAAGGCCTGGTGGGACTGCTCCCCTCCCCTCTGAGGATTGCTTCTCCTGGAACGTTCATGGAACAATTTCTCTGCAGACACATCCCCAGAGGCTTGTGAAGGGCATCAGGGTCAAATGAATTGAACTTTTAGCCCATGGCGACACTTTAAAGGTTCAAATCAAGGGCTGGCTTGAGGAAAAACAGTTTGCTGAGCATCACTGGGTGTTATTAAGAAGATAAACACTCCATGAGATTTGCTAAATGCATTTTCCTCTTCTCTTATAGAATATTATGGAAAGGAGTCAGGATTTGATTCAGAAATATACAAAAGTGAGTAAATAATGGATGTTATTATTAATTATTTTTATAGCCTGATGCACTTGGATTATTTTTTCCCTGAGAGCTTTTCCTGTCAGCCTGACTGCACAAGTGCAAGGCTCACTCTAAATATATGACAATAAAAATACTCCAGGAGGAAGGCTCTGAAGTCTCTTTATCATGCTGACTTTCATTCCACAGGATCCCTTCTGGCCAGAGAGGCAGATTTTGCTTTTCCACTGAAACCCTTATTTGCAAGAGAAAAGGAGCCTTTCACCCTCTCCTGTCACTTCTCCTCTGATTTACTGGAGCACCAAGGAGGCATCACCTGGTTCAGAGATGGTTTGTAGGCAACAGCTGAGTTTGTGTGCATTTACCTCTGGGAATGTCCCACTGGAATTCACAGCTGGGATTGAATGGTCACAGAAAGAAAAAGAAAATCATTCAAATCCAGGATTCCTGAGCTGTTCTCAGCTCTGCTCAAGCTACAGATGTTACTATTTAATGTTTGTGTGTAAAGGATGATACCATTGAAATGTTTTGGGGGTAATGACATTCCTGTTCATAAGAATGTTTGAAGAGCCTTAGTTTGAAAAGGCTCTCCAGTGAGAAAAACTTCTGGATCCTCTGTGCTGTTCTGCTTGGGTCTTTCTGTGCATCAGAGCCCACAGCTGCAATCTGGAGGCACAAAAATAGCACCAGGAACGTCTTAGAGATCCCTCATCCCATTCTGTGCTTTTTGAGGCATTTGGGAATCAATACTGCCACTCCTACCCAGGCACATGCAGGTGAATTTCCTTCCCCTTCTCTGGTGCCCAGGGGAGCTGCTGCAGGACTCCGAGGGCCGGGAGCTGAGGCGCCAGGGCTGTGAGGCCTCTCTGACAGTGCAGTGTGCTCACAAGGAGGACGAGGGCTTCTACACCATCCGTGTCCCCTCGCTGCACGGACACAAGGAGCAGACCACCTATGTGTTTGTCAGAGGTACCTGCAGATCTCCTTTCCTGGGGCCTTGGCATGAAGAAATTCCCCTCCCTCACACACAAGGACACAGCTCCTAATTTTGTGTGTGGGTACAATTATCATAATGACCAACTTTTATTTTTGCTGATGATTTCAGTGTTAGAAAATTGTGTTTTCTAGGGGTAGGCCCTTAAACACTTAAAATTAATCTCCTCAATGAAAATTCTGGAAAACAACAGAAGCTCTCCCTCTCACGTGGTGTCTTGCAAATGCTGAGGCACTGACAGCTGGAGCCCCAGGATCCCCCCTCAGCGTGAGGTGCCACGATGTGAACAGAGACTGCCTGCTCCTGTCCTGGGTAGCCCCCAGTGACGATGGAGGAAGCCCCATCCTGGGCTACCTCATTGAAAGGTCTGTAAGGCACCACCTCAGAGCTAGGAACCCCCATTCGTGGTGGAAAGGGAACAAAGGAGGGCTGTGTGTCCCTGCAGGTGCGAGGCTGGCTCGGAGCAGTGGGTGCAGTGCAGTGCCCAGCCTGTCAAGGGCTGCAGGTGCCCAGTGCTGGGCCTGGCAGAGGGACAGACGTACCAGTTCCGGGTCAGGGCTGTCAACAAGGCTGGCACCAGCCACCCCTCAAGGGCCAGTGACCCTGTCACCACCCAGGATGCCAGCAGGGACAAGAGAGTGACAGGTTGGTACCAAACCCTCAGAACCACCAGAGGCTGCTGGAGTAACTGAGTGCAGCTTGTCCAGATCCTCCCCATTCCCACAAATGTCTCTGCTGAGCCCATCTTGGGAGCATTCTGAGCAGAAACAGCTCAAAGTGCCATTGTTTGTGACATAAAATGTCTGTAATTGTGCCCAGAACCAATGAGCCAGCCCTGGGTTCTGGCACCTCCTGTGGGTGGGTAACTCTGCCCTGTTTGTCATTGCAGTGATCCAATATGACCAGGGCAGGACCATAGAAATATCCAAGGATGACCTGGAGGGTGAGTTCAAATTTCCCCAGTGTTTGTCTCCTTCTTTATATTGAAGAATCTTAATTTATAGTGGGAGAACAGAATCCACTGTAAAAGAACTTTAATTTTCCTGCCACATTATCACTAAAACCTTTTCTGCCTTCCCACAGGACACATTAAAATTCCCTTGCCACCCACCAATGTTCATGCAAGTGAGGTCAGAGAGGATTATGTGGCTTTGGCCTGGGATGAACCAGATCCAAGAGGCAGAGAGCCACTGAATTACTATGTGGAAAAGGTAAGAAAATAACAATATCACACAGAAGGGGAGCTGCAGAGCAGAACCATTTCTTTCTCAGCTGGGACATGATACAGGTGAGGCCATTCCCAGTTAGGAACTGGGGAGATCCAGCCTCAAACCCAACTGGTTCAGCCTCCTCCAGCCCCACATGTGCCCTGAGCCATGGCCCTGACTCTGACACAGCTCAAGGACTAATGATTGACAAGCCATGGATGAGGAATTTTAACAGCACAGAACAGCGGCAGAATTGTAACAGGAAGAACTGTTCTTGCCCCGAAAGGTGGAAAATCTGTGAAGAATTGAGAATACCTCACTGTCCTGTTCCCCACTAATCGCTCTGTTGGTTAATTAGCATCTTCTGCCCATCTCCTTTCATGCATCCTTACTTCTAACCTCCTGTAGCAAAGGCGCCCTCCGCTGCCAAGGGTGAAAAGTGTGGGTACATCCACAAGAAATACATAATTTATGGCTTTGGTTTGTGTTTTGTTTGGAGCTTTTTAAAATTCCTTTCCTCCAAAGCGCAGCTTTGTCCTAGGTCAGGAGGGGTTTGTGCTCACTTCAGGAGCTGTAAATCATCTCCTTTCCCCGTACAGTGTCTCGTGGGCAGCAGCTCCTGGCAGATGGTGAACCTGGAGACGCCAGCAAATTCCCCAAGATTTGCACTCTTCGGGCTGGAGAAGGGAAAATCCTTCCGGTTCCGTGTGCGCTCCGTCAACAAGTTCGGCATCAGCGAGCCCTCGGTGCCCAGCGCGCCCGTGCTGGCCGGGACACAGCCCGGTAACGGGAACGCGGCTGTGCCGTGCCCGCTGCAGCCCTGCAGGGGGGTGGGCTCCGGGAATGGGGGGATTCTCTCTGAACTTCATGGTTTGAACACCTGTATTAACCCAGCAGAGGGATGGGCTGCCGGGAATGGGGGGGATTCTCTCTAAACCTCATGGTTTAACTCCTGCATCAACCCTGCAGGGGAATGGGCGGACAGGAATGGGGGAATCTCCTCTAAACTTCATGGTTTGAACACCTGTATTAACCCAGCAGGGGAATGGACTGCCAGGAATAGGGGAATCTCCTCTAAACTTCATGGTTTAACTCCTGCACCGGCCCTGCAGAGGGATGGGCTGCCAGCAATGAGGGCATCCCCCCTAAACCTCATCATTTTAACTCCTGCACCAACCCTGCCAGCAATGAGGGCATCCCCTCTAAACCTCATCATTTTAACTCCTGCACCAACCCTGCCAGCAATGAGGGCAACCCCTCTAGACTTCATGGTTTTAACTCTGCTCTGCTGCGTCCTGCACTAACCCTGTGCAGAGGGGATGGGCTGCAATGAGGGCAGCCCCTCTAAACCTCATGGTTTTAACTCCTGCACCAGCACTGCAGAGGGCATGGGGTGCCAGCAATGAGGGCATCCCCTCTAAACCTCATGGTTTTAACTCCTGCACCCACCCTGCACAGGCCATGGGCTGCCAGCAATGAGGGGGATCCCCTGCCCTGCCCACACTCCCCTCTAAACTTCGTGGTCTATGGTTACACAGCAGCACTTTGATATAAGGAAATCTCCTGAAGCCCTAAATCCTCCTTTAATTGGTTTGCAGTTGGTCAGGGCAGTGTTAATCTGAGCAAGCAGCGAGCGGGGAATTACATTTAATGAAACAGGAACAGTTGAAGGCTGTGTTGAATCCAAGGATGCTTGCAGCGTGGTGTGAGGGAGGTGACAGTGTGCAAGGAACGACAGGAGGCTGCAGCAGCCTGGGCTGGGGGCTCAGCCAGGACAGAG